CTCTTCCAACAGGCAGACAGGTTCACCTGCGTCTGCTACAGCTTCTCTCTTGGTAAGTGGGCTCCTCGCTCCCTGGGCCCGAGCCTCTCTCCCCCGTCTTCCCCTTTCCCAGCCCGGCCGCTTCCCACGGGGAGGAGCTGGCTGAGCACAGGAGCCGTGGGGTCTTGTGGGGGGCAGAGGAAACCTTTCGTTTCCCATACATGGGGTCATCCTCTATCTCAGAAGAAACCTAAGCCAAGACACACATCTACACACTTACACACACCCTTTGCCATCTTTGGGGTCAGTGCCAGAACATGGCCCAGGCTGTGGCACCCACTCCTGGCTGTTTGTTAGTTGCAGAGCAGCCTCTGGGCCCATGGCATGGGACTGTGATTTGGGTGGTTGTGCTGTTGGCACTCTTCCTCGTATCTGCAGGGATCCTGTGGTTTGTGCTTTGCAGGTGAGTAGGAAGGGGACTTGTTCAGCAGGGCCATGGGCAATGCCAGTCTCTTGCTCAGGGCTCTCCTTTGCCTTTCCAGGAAAAGGAAGTCTTTGCCCAGCAAAGCTAAGGAGGATAATTAAAAAGGTAGGAAAATGCAATTCTCTGGACCCCCATCGCAGAAAGGCCTGTAGGGCTGGGTGGCAACTGGGAGGAGAGCAGAGATCTTCCAGGAGAGCCTGACCCTCAGGAGAAATATCTGCTCATAGTCTTCACTGACATGTCTCCCCATTTGCCCCAGCCCTCCGATACCGGGGACAGTGAGGATGGCTCTGCCTGCTAAGCTGCACGCAGCCGCAGAGCATGGCTCCAGGCACCACTCCCAGCCTGCAGCAGAGGCAGGCAAGAGCAAAACCAAGCATCCCAAAGGGTGGCTTATGGCTCAGCCCTTTGAGGGACCCATGGCCGTGTCATAACCCCCCCAGGGGAGAGATCTGCTGGGAGGGGTCTCAGGAGGGTCAGACTGAGGGACTGCTGCTCTCACCTGGGCACCGGTGGGCACCTCCGGGGATCTGTGGTTGGGCACAGCTGGGGCGAAGGAGTCAGGCTGTGGCAGGCACTGCCCTGTGCTCCAGCCTGTCTCAGACACTCATGTGTGCAGGCAGCTCTGGTGACGTGAGCTCCCCACGCAGCTGAGGGCACGCAGCAGCCTCTACCCTGGTTGCTCTTGGTCTCCACAGGTAAAGGTGGCCAGGCTGGAGATCAGTCACTCCAGCCCCTTCCCAGGACCACAGGAGACATTCAGAGCAGTGAGGGAGCAGAGAAGGTTGGGAGGATGACCCCAGCTCAGTGCTGATGGCTGCCAGGCCCCCTAGCTCACCTGTGACTATGACCAGCACTGGCAGTCCCATCCAGTTCAGCAGAGCAAGAGGAAAACAGGAGGCCAAGGAGGGTTGTGAGTTCTTTCTTTCCTCACTCCCTTCACCTCCCAGCTTTCACTTACTGCTGTTTTAAGGCCTTTGAATGCAACTTTCTGTAGTTCTTTTTTTAGGCTTTGTTTTCATTTTTGCTTTCCTGGAAGCAGGAATTGTATGCCAGATTTCACAGTCCCTGACTCACATGGGCTCAGGCTGAGCGATGGTCCATGCTCCTGCCATGTCCTGTGCTCCCAACCCCCCTCCCCGCTCTGTCTGCTGATATTCAGCCAAATCCAGGGCTCTGCTGGAGCTTGGCCTGACTGGGATGCCTTCATGACTGCCTGCTCTGTCTGGACAATCAATAAAGCCTTGTGGTTTGGAGGGGGCTGCAGCTCCTGCCTGGTCCCCTCATTGCCCTTGTGGGGTCACATCGCCCTGCAGGGACCTAACTGCACCTTGTTGAGGGGAAGCCACGAGAAGGGCTGCTGTGACTCCATGTCCCCAGGTGGTGCCTGACAGCCTTTCCGACCTCTAGGGCTGTGCTGGGCAGCTCTCATGAATTTGGATGGGGTGCATGGTGGGAATCATTGAAGGGTGCTGTCGCTCAATGTACATCTTGGGCAGGAGTGTGTTCTGTGCCTATGCTGTGGCCAGAGCTGAGGGACCTGTGTGCTCTCAGCTCCTTTGCAGCCCCTGTGCCAGGTCAAACCTTGAAGAAAAGTGAAGATCAGAGGTTACCACCACCATGGCCAGCACAGAGTCTTTATTGGTGACACACAGAACAGAGCCATGGGGTCAGTCCTGGCTCTGAGGCCCTTTGCCCTTGAGCAGCAAAGGCAGAACCAGCCTTTGTGGTGCAGCAGCCCTTGCCAGAACCACATCCAGGATATTTAAGTTGAGCTGCTACAACCTGGGATTGCCATGGTGCAGCCAGGCAGGCCAGTGATGGAGTGTCTCTGGAGCTGGAAGGGCTGTGGCACCTGGATCAGCATCAGGAAGATGGAGCTCCCAGAAGGGATTGTGTGGGGTGGAAAGGACCAGGCTAGCCCTACAGGATTGTGGGTTGTCCCTCCCTTGGTTCTTGTTGGCCTTGGGCTTCATGCTAAAGTAGGACAGATAGCCTGTGCTCCTGAGCCCCATGGATCTTACAGCGGTTTGATGCTCCCCTGGCAAAACACAGTTTGCGTGTTGGTGGAGCTATCCCACTTTCCCTGGGGCTACCTGAAGGCACAAGGGATCCTGGATGGGACAGCTGATTATCTTCATCCCTGGCACAGACAGGTCAAGTCCTGGTGCCTCTGCTCTGGTCTGCATACTCAGGCTGTGATTCCATGTAAGTTCCTGTGCAAACTCTGGGCAAAGGGTCAGGTTCCTGCTTCAAAGCCTGACCACAATTTGGAGACAGTCCAGCTTGTGCTCTCCAGCCACAGAGGACCCTTGGGGTGGCTGTTCAGGGGAGTAAAGCATCTTGGGGCTGTGCACACCCCTCTCATCTCCTCTGGTTTCCACTGTTACTGATGGAGGGCTGTCAAGAGAGTCGAAGTCATGGCCAGAGATGGGCGGTGGCCATGCCTCTACTTGAAATTCCCATAGGTTTCAAATGAATTCAAATAACTGAGGGCTAGTTCGTAGCAGAGCCCATACTGCTCCTGTGGACAGAAGGATGCACATGAGAACCTGGTACACCAACACCTGCAGTAGAAGGCCAGCCTTGGTTGCGAACAGCTTCCTGAGCAAGCCAGGCACAGGTAGAGCCCACTCTCCACCTCACAGTTGGAGCCCACCTTCCCCCACTGAGGAATCACAGGCATGTGCTCCAGTAGCTGATAGCTCGTCTACCCTAATGCTGGAGGCAGCTGGTCTTGGGAGGAGAGCCAGCATCCATGCCATGAAGCACCTGCCACTCGCTCCCATCCAGGGTGCTCACACTATGATTGCCTCTAGCACCCAGACTAGGTGGTGATGTGGGTGCAGGACAGGCACCTGAGCACCCATCAGTACAGCCCTTGCTGAGCAGGCCAGGTGGACCAGAAAGGGGCAATGCAGCCCACAGGGTGCTTCAGTGCCCATCTGGTTCTGCAGAACCTGCCCTGAGTGAGTGGGTATGTGCCAGCAGCAAAAAACAGGGTTTTCAGAGGTCTCATCTGCTTCTGCTGGCCGCAGGATGTTCTGAGCACAGAGGTGCTACGGCAGCTGCTGGGACAGTCCAGGCTATGGCTCTTGCTCTGGTCTTGCCATCCTGGCTGGGTTTGAAGTCAGCACCTACCACATCTTTAATCAGATGTCTGCGCCGCCTCTTCAGCATCCTCACAGCCTGGGATACATCCACCAGCCCCTCGCTTTGGATCTGTTCACACAGGAAAGTAGCAGCACAGAAGATCCCACTCCGGCTGGCACCATCCCTGTGGAGGAAAGCAAAGGGAGAGTCACTTGCTCTGGGATCACCTGGCAGGGATGAGCCTCAGAGGTGTCCCACTAGACATACAGGCTCTCAGGATGACCTTGTCCACAGATGCTGCATCCAGCCAGCCTCCACAGGGAAGCCCTCCTCCCCGAACACAGCTGAATTCATGTCCATACACCCACCCAAGACGGATTTGTGACCCAAGCTCACTGACGCAGCCCGGGCTGAGCCAGCTCTGTGCTACAGGCTGCTCCTTCAAGAGACATCACTCACCAGCAGGTCACGAGGATATGTCCATCTTGGCTCTGCCGATGGCGTGTTTCCACCTTCCCTAACAGGCTGATGATGGTGGCAGGTTGCGGGGGAAGACGCTGTTTCATGGGCCAGTCCTTCAGTTGCCAGAACTGGACTTCCAGTGCAGACTTCTTGGGCTAGTGGGGAAGAAAGACAGTGAGTTGGACAGAGAAGAAACCCATTGGCTTCATGGAGGGAAGGGAGGGACAGCATGTGTCAGTCCTGGCTCAGCCATGCACACGGGATCAAGGGAGCAGCTCCACAGTGGGATGGCCCAGTCCCAGACTTTGACCTTCTCCATTGAGTGCTCTGAGATCAGCAGATGAACAGAGCACAAGATAAGAGCTGAGCACCAGGTGCAGCTCAGACTGATGTCAGTCCAGCATCCAGCTACCTGTAATAGCTGTCCCCATCCACGAACCACCACCGAGATGCACAAACTCTATCCACAGCTCCTGTCTTCCAAGTTAGGAAGGTACACAAATGTACCTCTGCCTGCAGCCTCACCCTCTTGGGACTAACCTCTTTCTCAAGGCAAGGGGCCCTGCTGTGGCCACTGCCCTTCCAGGATCCCATCAGATCCCTCTGACCACCACCCCTAGCTGTGACTTGGACCCTAAATCAAAGCCTGCTGACACTGGAGCCTGGCCAGTCCTTCCAGCTCTTGCAAAGGTTGTTCTCAAAGGACTTTGCCATCTCTGTGCAAAGAGCCCACCTGCTGCTTGTTGGTGAGGGCAAATGTCCAGGCTGTGAAGCTAACTCCGGGCTCCTCTGAGATCAGGTGGACATGGAAACGGCCGTAGGCAGCTTTGCCCTGGGTGGGCCAGAACTCCACATATGTCTGGGGGTGAGACACGCGTGTGATCACACACAGCCCCAACCTCCACGTGTGGCAGAGCTCAGCACCTCGCATGGGCGTGCTCACACCAGCCCCTCGCCCGTAAGCCACAGTGTGCATGTGGGTGCTCTGCCTGCCATTTGCTGGGGACCAACCCGTGGTGCTGCAGCCAGAAAGATAACACTCCTGCAGAAAGGACACCTGGGCAGGGGTAAGCAAAACCCGAGGGATGCTCCCTTGCTGTGAGACTGGGAACACCCCACCACTGTAGTGCCATGGTACTGGGACTGTCCTCGGGGCTCTCCCAGGTGGAGCCCACAAGCTTGCAGTGGGCTCCTGCAGCAAGCAGGGCTCTTGTGAGAAGAGCCGTGTGGGGGCAAAAGCGGAAAGCACACTGCCCAGCCTCACGGGGAGCCGGGAGAGGAGAGGGCTGCACATGGGCTGCTGACCTTGTCCAGCTCCTGGAGCTGGTTCAGCACAACCACTGATGTGCAGGTGTAATCCCAGACCAGAGCCCAGAAATCCACCAGCGTGGTGAGGAAAGGCAGCTGGGTGACGATGAGTCTGTCCTCTTGGGTGTACGTCTGCAAAACACACCGGGGTGTGGGGGAGGAGAAGGTCACACAATCCACCCCCTGAGAGCCCCTCCAACAGCAGGAACTGCTCCATGCCTCCCTTACAACCAGGGCTCTGCAGAGCCTGAGGAGATGCCGGGCACCCCAGCCCTGCTCAGAGACCCCCTCAGCTCATCACAACTGGGCTCTGCTCCCAGCAGGCAAAAGCCAGCAGCCGTGCTGCAGCCTGCTGAGCTGCCTGTGCAGGCAAGGCTTAGGCTGATCACGGGGGCCATCTCCTGGCAGCAGGGCCCCAGCCGCTAGGAAGTAGTCACTGTGTAGAAGACCCAGGGCTGGGACACCTCAGGGACACCAAACCAGTGTGGCATGGTCTACCCCTGCCTTGAGCGTTGGTGCCCAGAGGGGTCTCTGCTGCTCTCAGCAGGTCCCACCGGTGCTCCGCTGGGGCTGGAGCCTTACGCTGGCAAACACGGCGTTGATGTAACCGGGTGAGCCGTCTGCGTTCAGTGAGGACATCAGGATGGGCCGGCAGGAATCCGCTGTGAAGGCAAGGGGCAGAGAGAGAAATGATGAGCCATCCTGTCCCCACACAGTGGCATGGGGCGTTCTTTGCTAGCAGTGGGGTCCGCGGGGCTCCCTGCAGCACGGGCTGGAGAGGCTTGGATGAACAGGCACTGCCAGCCCCGTGGCCAGGACAGCTCAGGGCTGCCTGACACGGGATGTCCAAAACCTCATGGGTAGAGGCATAGAGGCACAGCAGGTCCACCCTCCTCATTGCTCCCTGATGCCTCATCTGGCGTCCTCCACTGGGAAAGATTAGACCCAGGGACATGTTTATCCCAGGTGTACCCCATGAATGTATTCCTCCAGCAAGCCCAGAAGGAAGCAGGGATGGGGTCTTGCTCCCATGGAGGGATCAGCCTAATCTATATTTATTACCAACTAGAAAATGACAATTGGACCCTGGGCGGAACCTGTCAGTGGCTTGGTGCTGGGGAGGGAAGCAGCAGGGCAGCATCGTCACCCCCATGCGGCTCGCAGGCGCTGGGTCACAGAGCAAGGGGCTGCCCACCCTTGCCAGTGGTACCTGGCAGGATCCCTGGCTTGCGGTTCTTGGGCTGGTTGCTGGGTTTCTCTGCTTCTCTGCATGGCAGGAGCT